TCCTTCTCCTGCACGTCGAGCCGGAGCCCCGGTTACCCGTTAGGTTCTCCGCGACAATTCCCATAGGATAAGATACATGTCCGTCTGGTAGATTATTTAAAAACATTAGACACGTATTTTTTAATTTCTTACGGAAATGAAGATATATTGATTTGAAATATCACATGACGTCACTTTTGAGTACGATTTATATTTTAAAATGACGTAGCTGCCTTCTTTTCCTAAACTTTAATTCGTTTTATGTAAGTGTTGTTTTCTTATACGACAAAATAAAAAATACGTGTCTAATATTTTTTCATTACCTAACTGACGAACTAATTAGATTTTTAATTTTCATACCCTGTCATCATCCCTATTATATTGTTTGTGTTACTGTAGTGTACTTTTCGAAAAATTAGATATAATAAGTGACATTATGTTCTAAAACTACGACCAACCAACATTATCATATTATCATAATCATTATCATCAACAGCCTATAAATACTGCTGAGCAACGCCTCTTCTCACACGGAAAAGGTTTGAGCATTAATCACCACGATTGCTCAATGCGGGTTGGCGACAACAAACTTATAATTGGAAATTATAAGCCCAGGTTTCCTCACGATGTTTTCCTTCACCGTTTGTCAGTGGTGTCTGAATAATCTTAGAAAGTACATATAACTCGGAAAAAGTCACATTGGTACTTGCCGTTGGTAGGAACCCGCACCCTCATGCATGAGGAGCTGGCGTCTTAAACCTCCGGGCCACCACAACATTACGTCATCACGGACAAGTATTAGTAGTCGGTATTATGGCAAACTCCCTCTTCAAAGAGAGTTCCTTCTCCAGCAGACTTGACCTGAATTCTTCTAGAATGAGACACTTCTTTGACTCACCACTGACTAAAAATACTGATTCATTTTATTACAGTATCTGCGATGTATTTACTAATTTAGTCTAGCTGTTGGTTTGCAGACGGCATTACGTAAAACAGCTCAGCGGGCGGTCGGTCAAAATGTCCTAAAGTTGGTAACTTTCGTAATCAGTAATTAGTCGCTATAGGTTTCTTAAGAGCTAACATTTAAATAAGGTGATTTACAATAAAAAGTGTTGATTGCTTTTTTTTTAAACACATCCATGTTTTTTTATAATGCTGTGTCTGGTATATTTGTTATTTAGTATTTAGCAATAAGCAATGCATGCTGCATTATTTTTTAAGACGTTGCTCAGTATATTCTTTTGTATGGTGAGCCGTGGCGTGGCCGGTAATAAAGACATGATTACAGTCAGATCCTAAACACCAATTGAGTATCATAAAAATAATAGTTCCGCGCGGGATGCAGGACTTTATATCGCGTGAACTTTTACGTTTATTATCAGATTCGTATTGGATAGTCGATTTTAGTCAGTAAGGGTCTGACAGTCCCTTTCATCCTCCCTAGGCGAGGAGGCTTCATGAGAATTCCACACCTTCGGGTAAAAAAAGGCTTATTGAGTATGCCTTCAATATGTTACCAGTCTGTTGACTGGTATGTATGGTTAGCCGTCTGCCATTATAGCAGTTATGTAACTCAAAGCGACAGTGCGTGCCATCTCCTTGCACACACTGCTGCTGATCCGCATTCCTTATAGATTAGGTGATATTCTAAACGTGAGGTCATACTAGATTCTCATTTGTATGTAATAATAATACATATATGTTTTATGTGTTATTATATCATAAGATATGCGTTCTTCTCAACTCGTCACGCGTCACGCTCGGAAGCCAACTGCCTAGGAGACATCGATTAGATTTTGTCAAAAACTAGATAACAGTAAACCAGTAGCCAGTACGTATGTATATAGGTGCCCGAGCGTACGACGCGCCGTATTCCGCGCGCGCCTCAAAACGCCGGCCACCACGAATGGGGCCCAATAGGGCTGATACCGATACGAAGCCGCGGAGGACTTAACCTCTTATCTGCCGGCATATGAGACACAATAGAAAATACATTGTGTCTCGCGTATATCTACGTTCCGGCATACCAGGGGTTAACGAGTTGCCGGGTCTCCGACTCGAAGGGTAGGAGTAGGAACGGGGTGGTTTTTAGTAGAGGCTGACACTCCCTCCCGCCTTACTTAGGCGGGAGAATACATGCGATGATTTTCCCCCATTAAAAAGAAAGTATGTTTTTAGGTACCGACACGTCATATTTGTATTAAAAACAACATATTACTTAACTGTACCCGGTTGTATACGTCAATGCTCTACCTACTAGGAAAAAAACTAAATATATATTTGTACTAGCTTTTACCCGCGGCTTCGCTCGCGTCACAAAAGGATAAAAAGTAGTCCATGTGACATATACCCATACGTACAGCGCCATCAATACCAATAGTTTTGTTTTCCCTCGGGAATACCAAATTTTTCTGGGATTAAAAGTACCCTATTATTTAATCCGGACTTCTAACTTTACGTCTGCAAAAATTCAAAGCAATCGGTTTAGTAGTTACGGCGTGAAAGCGGAACAAACAAACTCACTTTCCGATTTATAATATTAGTAAGGATAAAGAACAATGGCAATTATCCCACAAAACATTTAAAGCATCTAATTCTTAAGCAACTTTAGCAGTAGCTCAACTTCTTCAACTCTCCACCGTGCAAGCACCAGTAGTTACAATCGATAACGACAACTCTCAAACTCAGGCCGTTGACACCCATGTAATAAAATAACCAGTAGGTATCCAGTAGACAGATGATATAACACAGGTCTTCCTATGACACGAGACGCGTGAGAGGTAATTAAGATGGCCGTCAGTATTCGCGCCGCGTTAGCGTTTGTCACGCACTCTCGATTGCGACACCCTTTGTACGACCAGTAGGAAGTGTGTGACGCATCTTACGGACATTGGAGAGTTTGCAGGAAATGTTAATGTAATGGAAATGGTGTATTAAGAAGTTTAAGGAGAAAATGAGGGGGATTTGCAAGGTATGGGGTAAATTGTAGTTGGTAGCATGCGAAAAGCTTTTTTTTATATTAGATGGGACTGACGTTTGACCACTATCTCGCCTAGTAGTAAGCGATGATGTGGCCTACGTTGGAGCACGTCGACCCATAAGCAACCTATTCACTCGGGGCTTGAAGACGGGTGGTATAAAACCTGGGTAGGTTATATACCCTTCAGAAAATACAGACTCTGGCAAAGAATTTCACTCCTTAGCAGTACGCACAAGGAAGCTTAAAGCGAAGCGCTTCGTGCGTGTGGGTGGGACATCTACTACGAATCGGTGACGCTTCGCCGATTGTCGTTTTACTCATAAAATCATTGAATAAAAAGCTGTTATACTTATATTCTTCGTAACTAAAAATGTAACTGAGATGTTATGGAATAGGTAGGTAATCATCGTATGCCTAATTACATACCTACACCGTATTTTAAGGACTTTTTTGCTTTCTTCAAAATAATTAGGTAATTCATAATGATGGTCCATCAGTCTTCGTTGGATCTTCAGTTCACCGTGTTTGAAATCCTTCAAAGTTGTTTTGATTTACTTAGAGAATGTATTTCAAAATTAGTAAAGCTTTACTACAGTCCGTTATGGTAAGTAGTTTACTTGAATTATTAATATCATGTCGCTAAGCGGGTCCCGGTCGGTGCAAAAGTGACAGTTGTCGCCTTGATCCACATATACTGAAGGTGGCGTGGACACCAGTTGGGCACACAGGACACAGAGCTTGGAAAGGATCAGAATTGACTTTAATCTTTTTTATTTATTTATTAATAATGAATTTACATGATATGCCTTACAATCAAACGCCATGTTCAATAAAACTATATATACTTAAATAGTTTTTTTTTAAGGGGGGAAAATCATCGAATGTCTGCTCCCGCCTGGGTGAGGCGGGAGGGAGTGTCAGACTCTTACTGACTAAAAATCACCCCGTTCCTTCTCCTGCACGTCGAGCCGGAGCCCCGGTTGCCCGTTAGGTTCTCCGCGACATATATAAATAGTTTGACTGTTGGATCTTTTATATTTAAATTACTATTTACTATGATAATGTTAATTTTTTCCAATTGTTTTGGACCTTCTTTGAAAGATATTATTAATTTTGAAAAAGAATACACTAGGTACCTTTTTAAATTTTAACGTTTCGTATTTTGTTGATGTTATTCGGTATTTCAGTGTTGCGTAAGTTTTTTAGTTAGTTGTGTTTAGATTGGAACGTTTTGGCATAAAAAGTTTGAAATTCACAGTAATAATCAGAAAAGTTTAATTTTTTTAATTAAACGAACAGCCCTGAAGTGACACGATTGATAAAATTAAACTAGACTTAAAACAATGAATATTGTAACGATTATTTCATTATTCATTTTACGACTGTTCAAAACTAAGTTAATAATTTAGGAAAAATATAAATTAAACTCTGTCTCCATTGTTTTATAGTTTAACATGTCTTGTCTACAATAAATAAGTTACGAACACACACGATAGTAACCACACATGGTTACCGCACCACGAAAATAACTAAGCAATTATTCTACCTCTACGCCTCTACTACAAATTGATATTAAACCTACTTGGAGTAGCAACTGTTGCCATATTAAAAAATAAACCTAATATTAAATAAATGTCGTTTTTAGGACAGGTTTTCCGTTCGTATCCAAAGGGTTGGGCAATAGGAAGTGGTCGGAAGTTTTTGCAGGCCGTCTAGTTCGTTGAGCAATGTTAAATGTCCTTAAATGGGTATGATGGAACATTTTCTTAGATTTTTTGCGGAATGGTAAACGTTGAACGGTTACGTGTGTTGAGTAATAGAATTTTATAGGCTGCCATGTGATCCGTTTACGTAATATTACGTAACTGTGAAGGGTTCGTTTCAAATAGATGGGATTTATTTATTAGCTTGATTAACTGACTTTATTCAAGTTTTCTGATTTGTTTATGCTTGTTTGAATTTGGTTTTACTCTTAATTCTGTTCATTAGGAGAGGATCTAAATAGAGATAATGTGGAATCTAATTATTATTTTCTTTACAGGTGGGATCCAAAGCGGCGAATTACTCCAACAGAAGCATCACGTCACGAGTTCGTCACGGGATGTGCTCTGGGTACGGCCCCAGCTGGAGTGCTGGCATTGCCTCGACTGGCACCGCCACGACCGACACGAGGAGCCCTCCTGCACTCGCAGTCCGCAGGCGACGTCGCCGCCATGCTGGGCAGGGCGTGACCTCGCGACTCCTGAGTGAGGGTCGGCTCCGGAGGCCTGCCGTAGACAGCTTCGTTTTGTTTCTGTAGGTACAACGAGTAGGACTCCGACAGGGCCTCGACAGGCTCACAACATGACTTTAGTGTAATCAGTTCGTTTATATTTGGTGTCCTTGTTGTTCTTATAGTGGAATTCAAGTATTCAGATGTTACTTATAAGGGTGTTTTTCGTGTTTAAGCAATAAGTAAGAAATCAGAATTAGAACCTCCTGAGCGGACAATAAATCAAGGGCTATCAGAGGTCATCTGCAGCGACTGTAGCCCGCTGAACGAAACGATTGAGCAACTTCCTTCGCGATTGTAACACGTAAGATTTACTAGGTGTCTAATTGTGTCCTAATCTCTGCTATTATTGCACATCCTTCATCAATCTTCTATACTTTACTTCTGACCTTGAATGTGTATTTTTCTCCGTTTAGCGTAAATGGTCGTAAAAATGTCATTAAGGTGTTTACGACTTACAGTCATCAAATTAGATGAGAGATCGCCACTCTAACACCAGTAGTTGTGAAGCAACACTAAAACACAGTAAACGACCCACAGTGTGATGGGTAATGGGGTCATATCGGCAACATAATAGCCATTAAAGATACTTAGCTTAAATGAGTTACTTCACAACGTCTGCTTGCAAAAATTTTGGCAAAAATGTTTTTGGGTTGTGTGCAAAAGTGGCAATTATATCTATTGTTACCTAATGTCACTATGTTATTGGTACCTAGTTAGTATTCGTGTCTGTTTTGGCTAGTTGAGTGCATTGCCTCCACCATCCATATACACGGAATACAAATGAGTGGTTACATTAAAAAAGTGTCACAAAGTCGTAAATATTTTGTAACATATTTTTTGTTCAATATTGTCATTGTTGCTACAGAATTTTGTTTTTATTTCTGTGAAGTAACAAGATGAAGTTTTGAACAAAATACGAACGTATTCTTAAAGTGCCAAAGATCATTATTTTAATAAGAAAACTGAATTGTTTCTGTTATTAATTTATAGGTTCATTATTTCCAATGATTTGTCTGCCAAATGCCTGCTCGAGGTCCATGATAAAGTAGATGAACCTAAACTTAGTATTATACTAAATGTACTTCTAATATCTAATATCATATCGTCAAATATCATTCTTCTTTCGATGTCGAGGTAGAATCTTCCAGGATTTCTGTTTCTTAAGCTCCTTTAAACCCCCTGTCCAATGTTGTGTCGACTGAAACATAGTACAAGTTTGTATACGTTCTCATATCACAGAATGGCTCTATTTATACATTAAAATACTTTAATTATGTGCACTAAACGACTGTGTTTATAGAATCTATAATGGCGAATGGAATTAGAGAGACCAGAGAGCTAAAATGGATAATAAATCAGTCTTGTACGCAACACGTCTAACACAACTTCGTCTGTTTGTGATTACGGTCTGATTATATCTTTGATATTAAGTCTAAATTTGGTTTTACTAATTCCATTGATCGTTATTAGAAGCAACAAGTTGGAAGCTTATGTAAAGTTTTCAATCTAACAATAATATTACTCTAGTTTTATCTATTTGATCGTATTATTAGGAGGCAATAAAGCGCGCCTTTTTTGTTTGCCTTCGTTTCAAAATTAGAACGTGCTAGAATTTGTTTTTTTTTTGTTTTATGTGACAGACAAAATATTGCTATATTTAGTTGGCGTTACATTTGAGAACGAAAACCTCTTTGGTTGTTTTTAGTGAATTTGCTACTTCGTTGATTCATAATAATACGAACAAATGAATTAGTCAAAATAATAGATAATTGTATAGGATAATAGTAAAAAAAATCGGGTATATAGATAATAAATGTTCTAGTTATTGTGATGTTGTAGATTTTTGTAAAATTCATTATAATATTAGTAAGATATCTAAGCTTTAAATAATCGAAGTGTTGTTAGTCAAGTAGTCAGTTTTCTTTTATTATCGTGTAGTTGAATTTAAACTTTTATTATTAATAAATAGAGATAATTTCCAAATTTTTGCTGCAGTGTTTAAAACAGCATTATTTATTGTTTAAATAAAAAATGTGATATCGTCGTGTTAAGTATCTAATATATTCAACAAAATTGACTTGAAAATAATATAATTGTGTAGCTATTTTGTGTTAAAATACTTTGGCTTTAATTGGGAATATGAAGGTATTTAATACTTGTTTTGAATTTCTTAAATGAGTGTCATAACAAACAACCCTGTTTCAATTATTGTGCTTCATTTCTTCGACATCGACATCTACAAAAACACTAAAACTGTCTACGATGTTTCTTTTTAATAGGTTTACAAACACCTCTTTTTGCGCCATTTTACTAAGTGAAAATTATAAAAAAAACACAGCTGACAGATAATAAAAAGATCTAAATAGTGTCCAAGATGAAGCACAATAATAATATGGCAACATTAAAAATGCAATTTTTGTCTCCTCTCATTGACAAATAAGTTTTCTAATATTCATTTTAGTGTATAAATAAGTAGATGTAAAATTATTTCGCAAACTAAGCTTGCTTGTATACTTGTAACAGCTTACATTATTTATTAAACAAATAAGTCTTGCCTAACTTAGTTTTTTATCATAACTAAGGCACATATTACGTTAGTATAAAGTTTGTAGTCAAGAATTAAAGTCATTGTTTTAATAGAATAACGAACGGACCAATGTCTTTGGTTCTATAGCTTTTTCATAAAAAAATATAAGTAACTGTCTTGTGTAGAATTTTTTAAATACCTAGTAGTCTATCAAACATCGAATTTGTCATGTTCCATCAAAATTGCGTCAGTGTAAAAACAACCATAGATAACGAATTGTTTTTTCAACTTTAACTGTCTAGTCAGATGATAAGTGTGAATTGATTTAAATAATGCTAGTATTAAATACTTATTTTAAGTTGTCTTTATGTTCCTATATTTTGTACCCGTTGTTTTAATATTATTTGTAATAAGTAAGTGATCTTCATTTTAAGTGTCGCAATTGGACTGTCACATAATAATAATTATTTTATTTATGTAAGTATATTTAGTTTCTAGATTAAGTCGATGGACAAATAGCTCTTTCTAGTCTATAGTAAGAATTTGTTACTCCTAGGAAATGGTCTAAGATTGTATATACTCTTATCATATTAGCGTTAGGATTAGGCCAAGCCAAACTGTGAATTGACTAAGTATTCGTAATTATTTAGACAAGGGGATGTATTGTGACAACTGCCAACGTCTCTATTTATAGTCTGTGGATTTGACATTTGTAATTTATAATCTGTAGATTTGACGTTATTGTTATCTGTCAATATAAATGTCACTGTCAAAAGTATGATGGATTATTTTATTTTGGCGTAGGTTTTAGTCATTGTTTCGCTGCGGTGTGAAACAGGGATGGCAATATTTTGTCCTAAATATCTTAACCTTTTTCTCGCACTGAAACAATGATTACTTTAACATAATACACCCCCCATTGGTGGGTACAGACAAGCGATTGGTCCATACCATCTACAGTTGCAACAGCAATAAGACATTTGTGCAATTCCATTTATGAAATGCGATTAAATCTGAATAACCACTGTTAATGTTTAACTATAAAATGAATATCGAAATAAACTAAATATTACACCGTATCTTTCACTAAATTAGTTGACTAATTGCGTTTAATGTTGATCAGTCGCGGCCTCTGAACCCGCCGTTACCAATTAGTGATGCAACAAATACAAATTAATTTTATGCACCATATCGTAGTACCAATACTCACTAATACTCAAATAGGTTACTTTTTTAAATATGGGACGTTAGAAAAAGTTCATTAACAATACATAGATGGCGTGATTCTACGTTACGTTATGTAACCGAACTTCAATTTAAATTAATGTTTTTTTATATAGTTAATTGCTTTTTTGATGTTTTAGTAATATTTAGATATTGGTTGCATCACTAATACATTATGTTAGTGGAACAACGTGTTTGTGATTTTGATGAAGGTGTTAGAAACTAGATAATGGTTGTTTACCAACGTATGTACGTATGTACTAGTTATATGTATTGTATGTACAACATATATGTATCATTCGTCTGATATATTTGTTCTAATTGAATCGTCATGATTAAAGTTCTTCCAAGCACTTGTTTTGTATTATTTATTTACTTGTTAGGTAGTTGTTAACCTAAGCCACGGAGGGCTTAACGGGTTGCCGGGGCCTCGGTTCGAAGTACCCGAGTTGGAACTAGGTGGTTTTTAGTCAGTAAGAGTCTGTCACTCCCTCCCGCCTCACCCAGGCTGTAGAAACTAGAAGCCATAGGATGATTTTCCCACCTCAAAATAAACGTAGTAGTTGACCTGTGTAGGTCTCTCTCTATTTACATACTAACTCACTCTATTTTCAAAAGACATAACATTTTTGTGCTTATTATTGAAATATGTGGTACCAAGAGGAGGTATATGGTAATATAAAAGAAGGATACATTTTATGAATTGGTTAACTACGGCCGAAGCCTAAATTCAAACTTATAAATAACAAAGTTTTTAGTTTAGCGTTGCACTAACCGATCATGAACTAAAGATATTACAAAACGAAAGTCCCTTACAACATTACATTACCCACGATAATAAAAATTGTAACAGTAAACACCAACACGGACGCTACAGTCTGACATTTTCAGGCAAACCTAGTCTTACCAAACGATTGCCTAACTAGATCTGTTTCTCATACAGATAGCCAGGGCAAACGGGTTAAGGATTCTGAAAGTAAACGGGTCAACGTACGGACTGACCAATCAATAGCACACCAGCACCTCTACCATGGTTTTAAACTTTAAAGCAATGTAATATTTGTCGATACTCGATAGCGATGACATAAATTATTTTATACGTCAAATTTAGTTCCGTATGTGGACGCTAGAGGCGCTGCTTGTTGTCGTTGGTAAAAAATTACGTTGTCGCTATCGAGTTATATACTACACTAGCAAACCCGGCGAACTCCGTTTCACCACCAGATGGCTTCGTTTTATGTAACATTTCGTATGGTGATTAAAAGATGAAGAATTTTTTTCCTCAATTTTCTTTGCTATAAACCTTACGGAGTCCGAAACCTTTCCAACGAATGCAAAACCGTGGAAATCGGTTCGTGCGTTCTGAAGTTATAGCGTCAGGAAGGAAAACCCGACTTTTTTTTTTAGTAGATTTATAAATATACTATTGGTGCAATTGGTTTAAACCCATGGTAGTGGTACTGTACCAGTCTCTCAAGTACTGTCCTCTAGTTACACTTTAGTTACGACACATTGATTCGTATCGGTGAAAGGCGAGCTAATCCCATAAGCTTCTGTTAAGGCAGCCGAGTGGAACTTATTTTGTGTACGACAAAGAAGTTTGCAGAAGATCAAGACTTATTTGTATGAACTTTGGTAGAAATTCTTTTAAAACAGTATAAAATATTTATTGGCATTTAAAAGGCTTTACAGGATTTTCTTATTCCAGTATGATATAGCCGTATTCCCTTCCATTGTTATCGTCACTACGAACATCCAGATGATACATCTCTCATCACCATCCCTATGGGATAGGGAGAGCTATATCATAAAAGATTTCCGCGAGTAATATGCAGAAGTCGTGAATGGAAAACATGAAAAAATCATAAAAGATATAGGGCAAAATTTAACGTGTAATATGACGTTAGATCATACTTTTTCTAGAAATATTATTTTTATGGTACAAACGAGCTATCAGCAGACAGATTACGTCCTGCTGATACCACCTTGCCACCTTGGAATGAGCAAATAGCTTCACTTTTAATTTTATTGTTAACGTTCAAAAGTGCCTTTCTGGTCTAATTGAAATAAATGATTTTGACTTTGACTTTGATTAGCGGAATGCCATCACGACCGTCCATGGACAGCTGCAGCTTCAAAAGAGTCACAAGCGCCCTGCCTGCCTTTAAGTTCCAAGTGGACCTTTTGCTGTCTAAAGCTATCGTATCATACTGTCAATTTGTAACATATCAGTCGCAGTTACGTGCAGTCTCGTAAGGCAACGTAACGCACTCGCTGACAAAGACATACCTTACAATTAGATTGCGATGCACTTCTAACTAATTGTGCATTTCTTACGTAGCTGCTACTATTGTAGGTAAGTGGAGGAAACTAGATTACGAATGTTACTTCATTTTTATAACTTTTATTTGTATTTGCAACGGCAAATAGGTTTCAAAATGGATTGATTGAATTTGAAGCTGCGTTAAGACTTTGTCAAGATAGTAATGGCTTCCTGGTTTAGCTTTTACCCGTGGCTTCGCTCGCGTCACAAAAGGATAAAAGTAGCCTATGCGACATATACTATTACTCACAGCGCCATCTATACCAATACTTTTGTTTTCTCTCGGCAATATCAATTTTTCCGGGATAAAAATTACCGTAAATAAAAATAGACGTAAAGTTAGAAGTCTGGATTAAATAATAGATTTAATCCAGACTTCTAACTTTACGTCTGCAAAAATTCAAAGCAATCGGTTTAGTAGTTAAGGTGTGAAAGCGGAACAAACAAACGAACAAACACACTTTCAAATTTATAATATTAGTGAAGATTATATGGTCTAATTTAAAAATTTTGAAAATGAAATGGAACAGTTACGTTGTCTTACTGAGTGGCTGCAAGAGCAAAGTATAGCTTTTAAGCAGGCGACCAAGAAGGACGTATGGACAGAATCAGCAGGAGACCGGTTTACCAAAATAATTATGAGTTTGTTAGTCACAGAAATTGTTGTACACAAGTGTGGGAGAGCCATGCTTCGGCACCAATGGGCCGGCTCGACCGGAGTGATTCCACGGCCTCACAAAAACCGACGTGAAACAACGCTTGCGTTGTGTTTCGTCGTGTGACTGAGGTTACCGGAGGACCAATTACCCCCCTCCCTAGTCTCCCGAATCCCTGAATCCTCCACAATCCTCAAATTCCCAATTCCCAAAAGGCCGGTAACGCACTTGTAACGCCTTGGTGTTTCGAGTGGGACAGCGGGCGGCGCCAATTGCTTACCATCAGGTGATCGGTCTGCTCGTATACCGGCTTATGCTATATAAAAAAACACAGGTTTAGAATTAATTGTACCCCGTCCTCCATTACGTGACACCAGATAAAAAGGATAGCCAGATGAGCTGAGAATGGTTGCCGACCGAGTTGGAAGTCATTGGGGATGGGGAGGCCTATATACAGTGGCCGCATAGCGGCTGATACTAATTATGATGATAGTTGATAGTGATGAATAATATTTTTTATGATATAAGCCGGCAAACGAGCAGACGGATTACCTGATGGTATGCAATCGGCGTCGCCAATGGACACCTGGAACACCAGAGGCGTTACAAGTGCGTTACCGGCCTTTTGGGGATTTGGAGTTTGAGGATTATTGGGGATTGCAAGATTCGAAATTCCCAACAATCAAGATTCGAAACATATCCGCAAGTATTGTTTCACGTCGGTTTTCTGTGAGGCCGTGGTAGCACTCCGGTCGAGCCGGTCTATTCGTAATAATTAGGTCTATAACATAATTTAACTAGGTCTAATAAACCTCGCACTATTATTATATTTTTCTATTTCTTTACTTACACAAAGCAAGTGAACCGATGCAATCATTGGGACATTGTGAACGGGCGGCAGTTGTTGAATAATGTTAGATATCATCGCGCTATTGTACAAACAGGTACCGGCAGACTTCGTGGCGGAAGCCTGCGGTTTTTAGTTCAATTATAGTGGAGTGCAGTTCTGTTTTATACTGTAATTGTTCATGGTGGGAATTGTAGATAAAAGAGTTGTATTAGACAAATGGATTAGGTTTTGTTGTATTTGTTTTTTTGTTTTTGTGATTTGAACAATTGAGGCGTTTTAGTTAAGTAATCACAGATGGATATTGTTAGCTGTATTTATTGAAGGAGGAAAGAAAGTAGAATATTAGGTAGGTACATTTAATCATGCTGTCTATTATGTAAATAGATAAGTCGAGGGGTTAACAAACAAAGGATGACGGGCAAACATGTATGGGTAAGGTACCTACCGATCAAATAAGATGTATGTCGTCAGTAGGCTCTTTTCATGACTATCATTTGTTAATATAGGGCGTTTTTTTAAGGGGGGAAATCATCGAATGACTGCTCCCGCCTGGGTGAGGCGGGAGGGAGAGTCAGACTCTTACTGACTAAAATCCACCCCGTTCCTACTCCTGCACCCGGTTACACGTTAGGTTCTCCGCGACTCCGTATATTATGGGGGCTACTCTCAGTTTGTTGTGGGAAAATGTTATAGTTACTTAAAAGATTTTCTACAGAGACGTAGTAAATTCCGAGGAAAATTCAAATCAAAGCATTTATTTAAACTCAACTAAGCTATTCTTAGCCTCCAATTCCAAAGTGTTCACTCGAATGGAGAAGAATGAGCAAGAAACATAAACGTTACTCTTTAAAAAAAAGTAGAGAAGAATAGTATTCCAAAGACGTTGAATTTAAGGCGGACACAACGACCGGCACCTCCTATAGACTTACACGCATAAGACACAGATTGACATTTGTCATTTTTAAAGGGGATTTTATTACTGCACCTCTATTTTAAAATTTAAGTAAACCAAATTTCTCCACTAATAACCTACTGCATATTAACAAAAATGACTGTATTACAAATTAACTACACCGTAAAACAAAAATACTGATTTGCACACAAATTGTTCAATGTTACAACGGAATTTCCAAAATAGGTTAGGTTAGGTTTGGTTACGAATTATTAGATTTACTTTTAGTTAAAATATAGTCATTCAGTAAAACAGTTAAGCTTTAAAGGTCTAACAGTATAGTATAATTGATTTATTTTTGGTAATTTCGAATATTTTGATTGGAAAAAGAGAATTTACAGTTAAAGTATTAAATGCCACCCTTTTTTAAAGTCTGGTAACGTGGTAACCCATTACACACGCACACATAAATAACCCACTGACATTTTACTGCTTTAATCATTTCTAAGTGACATTATGCCCACTTTTTTTGCAACGTCCTTGTTAGGTACATACATTCATATAAGATTAATATACTTTAATAAATTCAAATTCCATTGATACGCATTTCTATAAATTATAATAAACGAGAT